TGAATCTTACCAGTAATGCTAACATACAATAAGGCAATATGCTCATGACAAGTTTGAATTTTGTTACTGGAAAAATGATTAAGAATTGCAGAGGCATTCACTATGTCTTCCCAACAAAATTGATTTTTGTTCACACACCACATATTGTGTGAATAAATGTCATCAAAATTGGACACGATTCAGTTATTTCTAGATTCCAAGCAAGTTGGGGACAAAAGTGATCACCTTGTCTTAGTTCAAGGGCTCTTACTGAGACTGGTTTCCACTGAGAGTTTCTAATGGTCCCCCCCAAATTCATGAATCTGTATGTTCACCTCAAGGAAGTATACCAAGATATTCACTGGCCAGTTCCAATCACCTTCCTGTCCTAGAAAGCAATTCTTCAAATGGACTTTGCCATGGCATACTTTAATGTGTCTTTTGAATTTTCATGGTGAATTCCACAGGGTCATATCTCATACAGGCCTCTGTCAAATAATCTACATTTTAAATTTCTCACCTGCTTAAACATATGGTCAATCCATTTGCCAATATCTAAGAGTCACTATACAAACAAATATCAGGACTTTTATGGAATATTAGTTTTCCCATTATTCCATCTCTGATATCTAGTGCAATGAGCTTATTTATTACATTTTTCAATCATAGTTTTAGATTAATTAGTAATAACATGTCAACTTCCCATATGGGCTGATGTACATCCACATTGGATCTGCTGTCTATAAACCTAATAATGCCCTCTCTGTTGACCAACTGAATATTTTGAGTTGTCAACTGGGAACTTTCCACATCGCACTGCCTTCATTGCAGTGAGTTCTGGTAGTTCCTTAGGTGATCCAAAAATTGACCTTAGAGGGAACAAAATGTATCAGCTCATGCATATAATGATTGGCCCCTCCAATTCCTTCACAGTAATATATTCTTGTATATATTTTTCATTTCACTGTGGGATTCTTTGGGGCATTTTATTCATTATTAAAGTGTTGCTGACAATCCAAGACTTACAGGTTTTTCAGATTTCAAGATTATTTTGTGTCTCCCACTCATACAGGGAGTTCCCACTAATTGCCAATAATCAACAATTAATTATTTCTAAAAGGCAATACCCTAACACAATAATAGAAACATTTCTGGTACAAAAATCCTACTGTATATTCCTAGTCATCACTCAAAAGCTTGTATCATAAACATCTATCTTTATAAGGTGCAAGTTATAGATACTTCCAAATAAAACCTAAGTGTGGATCAATTCAGATATAGTTGCTATTTTTTAGGATCAAAGTTAAAAACTTTCTTTTCACCTATTTTATAGGTAGCTCCTAACATTATTCCCAGGGATGGAATATACATCCTTCAAACTACAAGGAACTCAATTATGCCCTGTACTTTTTGCTTTTCCAAGTGTGAGATCAAGGTAAAAATGTGCAAGATGAGTCACTGAATACCCGTCTCCTTTAGTTTTATTTTTCTTTGCACATTAAAATCATATTTCCTTGTTTTGGGGTAAGATGAAAAAGGGAAAATATTGGTCAAAATGTTCAAATTTTCAGTTGTAAATTCTTGTGATCAAATCCACAGCAAGATGATTATGGTTAATAAAACTATTATTCTTAGGTATGAGGTCATAAATATTCTTAACACACATGGTGACTCTGTGAAATTGTGGATGTAGCGTCAATTGAAATTTGACTGTGATGATAATTTCAGAATATGTGTGTTTATCAAAGCATCATATTGTATACACACTTATCAAAGATGTGCTTAGATGGTCCAACTTTATTTAAGCCTTGATAATCCAGTCAAGCTCTGAAAGGAAAACTTTGACCTGTTACTGTACTACACTAAAACACTGCATTTGTTAGCCTACTTCTCAGCAATTCTGGAAAAATACTAGTTTTCTACACACATACAACATTTCTGATTCCAAATATGTGAGTTTTTTCCCACACCAATAAATTCTCCAATATAAATTGTGTAGCCTCCACTTTCTTCAATTTTGGGACTAATTTTCTAGAGTTAACCCAAACTGCACAGTTTAAGTCCTCAGTATCTCAGAGTGCCTCTGACGTCAGACACCAAATTTAAGTGATGAGTCCCCAGTGTACTCAGAATCTCTGCCCAAGTTGCCTACAAATTTGTGGTTCCCAAACACTGATAAGCTGTTTTAATTCATCTGTGTAAACCTAATCAAAATCTACTATATTTCTCCAATTCCATAAAAACCACCATCTTGCTGGAGTAAGTGCCTTGACTATACTTTTGTCTTTCCATGATTTGGTGAATCACTCTCATTTTAGCAGCATGTATTCAGACCCATATGAGGAACCAGGAATAACAAATCTGATCTTAAATTGTAACGTGTTGCAGCAACAAGCTTTCATGGAAGGCTCATACGACACAGTTCTCTTACTTGGAGTTTACATGAGTTGGGTCAAGTGTTTATCAGGACGATGGATATCTAGATCATTTGAAGGCCAAGCCATGCACAAAAGCATATCATTTTGGCTTGCACAAAAGCATATCATTCTACACACTTCATTGTCAACAAACTTCACAGTGACTTTATTTTATTTTATTTGTTTATTTTTTGGTACCGGGAATCGAACTCGGGAACTTGCGCTTGCGAGGCAGGAGCCGGAACCACTGAGCTAAATCCCCGGCCCAGTGACTTTATTTTATGAAAAAAATTTTTTAAATTTCATAACAAAATAATAAGAGAATAACAATAGCTAATAGACTATGTATCATTATCTTCAAAGTAGTTACTCGAAGCATAAAATGTAGAAAAGGCCGTCTTGGTCGCTGAGCGGATAGCTACATGATGATCCCTCGGGAATTTCTTCAGCCAAACCCAGTCTCCCTGCAGCAGAGAGGATAGGGTTTTGGAACTCAGTCTCCTAAAATCCCATAAGGCAAGAAGCTTAGAAGCCCACATTTCCATTCGTCCATTGTCCTAGAACACTTCTCACACGTGACAGAGGGCACCAGGAGAGAGGAGGTTGCTATCTGCCTGCTTCACAGCTAACTGGAGGCTGCTCTTTCTGAGTCTCATCTGAATTGGGTGGAAATGCTGAGGAGGCAGGTCCAGGTGCTCCCAACGTGGCAGTTCCTCCTAGGGCCC